TTATATTTTAATATTACATTATAGTTTTCTCATTGTTTTATTCGTAAGAGGAGATTTATTTGCAACCCCTTGCACCCTCCTCCCGCCACTCGGCCTTACTAGTCTGCTGGCGGGTCCACTGTGCCTTTCTTTTTCGCTTGTGCTTCTTCTAATACTCGGTAAAGGGCAGCAATTAATAAATAAATAAAAATAAATATAGAATAAAACAATGGAATGCCCATCACGATTCACAGTTCACAGCAGCGACCAATTATTAGCATTTCTTTGTCTACAAAAAATTTGAAATAAAAAAAAACTAGTCAAGTTCTCTAAAAATCATGAATCAAAAAAGTGTGAAACCTAAAAAACGCACAAGAAAAAGGCACAAGGTGGTTGTGTGTCTCAAGCTGTTAACCATTTTAAATTATATTTCAGGTTCCCACAAAAGCGATAAATATAGAAACAAAATAAGATAGTAGGGCCTTTTAGTGGAGTTGTTAACTTTAAGGTACTAGAAAAAATAATTGCCATTACGCTGGCCTAGTGCTGTTAATGTTAATTTGTAGCTTACATAATGTATTTTCATTTTTCTAACTCGTTGATGCTACAAGAAAACTCTCTTTTTTATAACAATTTTTGATGTGAAAAATATGTAAAATGCTAGTTTTCGGCCCCAAATTTTATATTTCGGCCCACAAGAATTTTAGTTTTCAGCCACTGCATTAGACACAATATAAAAGGTGCCTTAACCTTAATTTAATATAATTTTTGTAGAATTATAATAAAATTTCGTGTCGTTAAATATGGCAATCAAATCTTCTCATTTTTTTTTTGTACTTCCTCATATTTTCATCATCATCAGCCTTTCCATTTCATCCCTTCACAAGTCCACTGCTGAACGTAGGCCTCTCCCAAGCAATGCCACAAAACACGGTCCTGAGCCCCCTGCATCCATCGACTTCCTGCATGTCTTACCAGGTCGTCACTCCATCTAGTGGGGGGACGCTCTACACTTCGTCTGCCGTTACGAGGCCGCCATTCGAGAACCTTTTTGCACATTGGTTGTCGGTTCTTCGAGCTATATAGCCGGCCCATTGCCACTTCAGCTTACTAACCCGTTGGGCTATGTCGGTCACTCTGGATATACTACGGATATCCTCAGTTCTAAGTTTATCACGCAGAGAAACTCCGATCATAGCCCTCTCTATAGCTCGCTGAGCAACCTTGAGCTTCCTCATTCGGCCAGCAGTGAAGGACCACGTATTAGTTCCATAGGTCATCACTGGCAACACGCACTGGTTGTACAGCCTTTTTTTGAGGTATACCTGACGAGAAGATGTGCTGTAATTTCCCTAACGCTGCCTCATATTTTATTCCAACAAAATCTATACATCTCAAATCCATTTGGTGCAAAAGTCACATCCAAATTTTTCCATATCTTCTTCTGTATCGCTTATTAAAATGTCATAACACCAGGTGCAATTTACTTTTACTCTTTCATTTTCCTTCATGGAATTCTTGGGTTTTGCAATTTTTCGTTTTTGAACTTTAGCATTTTTTAACTGTTCTTTTTATATTCTTTTCTTTTTCAAAATATCTTATCTTTTTTAACTTAGTTCTAACTTCTCTATTTTAACTTTCTCTTTATCTTTTTAAAATTTTCGCCACTCTGCATATCAAATTGCTACAGAAGAAGGTGTACGTGTATTGTTAATGGTTGAGTTTTTTACGAGTTCCGGTTAAAATAAATGTTTTTCCTATCGCATCTCTGTATTCTTTATTTAATAGTACTGAAGCCGATGTTCCACTTGTTTGTAGAGGTGTACTAGTCTTTTTTATTGTAATATCAACCAGCACATTTTCTAAAGTTTCAAATGGGTTGTTTGTTATCATCGGTGTTAGTGGTGGTGGTATCATCATGGCCATTGTACTACTTTGAGTCGTTATTATTGCTTTACTGGAATCTATGGCCATTTCCGGCATTGTCAGTACTGTTGTCATTGGTAGGCTTATTTGAGTTGGGATTACAAGAACATCATCTAACGATACTAAGGAACCGATATCCAAATAACTTCCTGACAAATGAAATGTTCAAATGTTGTTATCGATAAACGATTCTAATGCATCGGTAGATGAATTCATATTTACTAGAACATTAGTTATTTCTTTAGAAATATTTTTTTTTCTAGTGTCTGAATTTTCACTAATTAGTCTTTCCGGGGTGTTCCGGACACATTTTGAGTAATCCACTACACGGTGATCAAATTCATTAAGTCCACATTTTCTGAAACCATTTACTAATTATATTTCTTTGGAGGATTTTTTTTTGGGGGAGCCATCTGAAGAAAATAATGTCTTATTGAATCTTCTTCCTAAAACGTAACGTGAATTAAATATTTCATGAAATGTCCGTCAACTAAAGCAGTATTCAGTTTTCGGCTTCCCTATTCATTCATATAATTTTAAGTTGGCCGAAAACTAAATAATAATTTTAGACTCAATCTAGTTTTCGGCCACAACTAAAATGGGTATTTTAGTTTCATCAATAATCATTCAAATTGCAATATTTGGTGGCCGAAAACTAAAAGCTAGTGTCTACGCAAGGATACAATTCATTATAAAAAAGAAAGAAGACTAATAGTAGGTAACCAAATAAATGAAAGAGACAAAGTATTTAGGCTAAACACGGTCTACTTTCCGGCCACATGGCCGATAACCAAATAATAGGAAAATTTTGTGTGTCACTTTCCGGCCATCTAATTTATTAACTTTTACAATAAAATATTATAGTAATCTATGTAAAAATTTAAAATTAAGTTATTTTTACAGTGAAATATAAGCACAATATTAAATAATCATTGTAAATACAGCACAAAATTTACTTTTGAGTGAAACGCGCGCCACTATTTTTTTTGCACGATCTTACACTCTTTGACAGCTCCTGTGCCGGCGTCAAACTGAACTATTTATTATAAATCGCGTGTTGTCTTTACCCGATGAAGTAATGTTGCAATATATAATGCAACTATTTAGAAATGCATTAAACATAATATTGGACGATAATATTTATTAAAATCGTTATTAAATCAAATTTACTGCATCACCTCGTGCCAAAGGCCGAAAACTAGACCCGGTAGGGTTGTTACTATGGAAAATAAATAATTACTATGGAAACCAAATAAACAACAATGTCAAAACATGTCAAATTTTGGTTTTAGGCTTATAATAAGAAAACGGCAAGATTTAAGTGGAAAATGAGATATTATTGATATAGGAAAAAAGGTAGCGCAACTGCCCACACAAAGCCCGAGATTGTAGAGTTACGGAAAACTAACTAAAAGATCGAAAAAAGGTAGACTCCATTGACACCAATTTAAAAGTGCTGATAATGTGAAAATACGAAGTAGAAATGATTTGTTATTGTGTTCTTATGGTTTAAAATCGTTACAGGATCCTATGGAAATAAAGGTGATGTAAAATATCCAGTTTTGAAGTGAATACAGAAAATCGAAACAGAATGGAAAAATGAATTTAAAATAATGTAAAATGATAAGTAAGTAGCATAACACTACACGGTGGTTACACAATAAAAAATAATGAAATTGAGTTGGACAACCGCTGGGTGGTGCCTTACAATCCTGTCCTGTTACGTACTTTCAATTCTCATATTAATGTGGAGTACTGCAGTGCAGATCTGTTAAGTCTATCAAGTATATTTGTAAATACGTGAACAAGGGTAGTGATCAAGCAGCCTTTACTATAGAGAATGAGAAAAATGAGGTGAAAATATACGCAAGCGGCCAGTACATAAGTAGTTCCGAAGCAGTTTGGAGGATCTTAAGCTTTCCCATTCATGAAAGGTTCCCTCCCGTCTTACATCTCGCTGTTCACCTTGAAAACGGCCAACGTGTATACTTTACCACTAATAACCTGTCAGAAAAAATAAAGAGTCCACCTCAGACAACGCTGCTAGCATTCTTTGAAATCTGCAAAACGGACAATTATGCCAAGACACTGCTGTGCTCTGAAATCCCTTCTTTGTATGGAACAAAAATAAATTTTCTAGAAGAATAAGAGGGCAAGTTGTGGAGGGCTGGCCCGGAGTGAGAAAAGAGCACGTTCTGGGTAGGGTCTAGACCATTCATCCAAACAACACTGAGTGCTACCACCTAGGCCTGCTGCTCCATGAGGTTAGAGGACCGACATCTTTTGAAGACTTAAAGACTGTGAATGGTATCCTCCATCCAATATTTCAGTCTGCATGTAAGACTCTTGGATTGCTCGAAGACGACAAGCATTGGGACACTACTTTAGAGGAAGTTGCATTGTGTGATTCTCCTTTGAAGCTGCGAGAGCTATTTACAATAATGTTAATTTTCTGTCAACTCTCTGATCCTTTAAGTCTTTGGGAGAAATACAAAGACAGTCTCTCGAAAGACATTAAACGGCAACTGGAGAGAGAATTGCAAGATAGTGCGCAACTGCTCATAGACGAAGTATACAACAGATGCTTGATATTGATCGAGGATACAGTGTTAGCTCAAGCAGGGCAAAACTTGGCACAATATGGATTGCCTCAGCAAAAAAGATCTGCAGCAACTTTCGGTAATCGAGAATATATGAGGGAGACCAATTATGATCTCGGTATTCTGAGAGAAGTGGTGTCCTCTAATGAGGAGTTACTGACGGATGAACAGCTTTACGTTTATCAGTAGATCCTTGGCAATATTGAGAAAGAAATTGGAAAAATATTTTTTCTGGATGCGCCTGGTGGCACTGGAAAAACTTTCCTTATCAATTTGCTATTGGCAAAAGTAAGGAGTAATCGTGGCATCGCCTTAGCTGTCGCATCGTCAGGAATCGCAGCAACACTGTTGGAGGGAGGCAAGACAGCTCTCGCTGCCTTCAAGCTCCCGTTAAATCTCATCCATGTCGAAACTCAACTCTGCAACATTTCAAAACAAAGTAATGCGGCCCAAGTGCTGCGCGATTGTAAACTTATAGTTCGGGACGAAAGTACCATGGGGCATAAAGGGGGTTTCGAAGCACTAAACAGAACTCTAAAAGATATCAGAGGGAACGATGACATGATGGGTGGAGTCACCGTGTTGTTAGCTGGAGACTTCCGTCAGACTCTGCTGATAGTGCCGAGGGGAACTCGAGCTGACGAAGTTAAGGCTTGCATTAAGGCCTCAAATCTTTGGCCCTTAGTTAAAATCTCTACCTTAAGAAAAACATGCGAGTGTACTTGAAGGGCGATGTTTGCACTGGACAATTCTCCGATCTCCTCCTTAAAATAGGAAACGGAGAATTATCGGAAACTGAGGGCAAAATTACAATTCCACCAGATCTTGCCTTAGTTGTGTAGACTGTTGACGACCTAATAACCCGAATATATTTAGATGTCCACAACTTACTGCTGTGTAAGTCCACAGACTGGCTGTGCGAACGTGCGAATCTCACACCTAAGAACGATCAGGCTTCCGTCATTAATGAGACTTTGTTGAAGTCGTTCGAAGGTGAAGAATATCAGTACAAATCTGTGGACACTGTTGTGCATACGGATGATGCTATACACTATCTTGTGGAGTTCCTAAATACACTCAACCCACCTGGTCTACCGTCTCACACACTTATCCTCAAAGTGGGAGTTCCAGTACTGCTACTGAGAAATCTCAATCCGCCTAAGTTGTGCAGTGGGACCAGGTTGCGTGTGAAAGCCTTACATAAAAACGTGGTAGAGGCCATTATATTTACTGGCTGTGCTCGAGGTGAATCGGTGTATATACCGCGGATACCACTTATACCAACGGAGTACCCATTCGAGTTTAAAAGATTGCAATTCCCCCTTAAGTTCTGTTTCGCAATGACGATCAGTAAGTCTCAGGGTCAATCACTGAAAACAGCAGGAATTGATCTTAGGGGGGATTGCTTCTCGCACGGTCAGTTTTACGTGGCCTGCTCCAGAGTGAGCTCGTCTAACAACTTGATCGTGTTAGCATCTGAAGGCACAACCTCTAATGTAGTATATAATGAAGTACTTTCAGCATAGACTGAAAAAATAAATCTTAACCCTTAGGTACTTCCTTAGGTAGGTTATCAGCGCGAGCGAAGCCGAGGGAAAAGCTAGTAGGGTATAAAATTAGAGAAAAAATTCCACTTTTAAGGATGCTAAAATACGGAATGAAGTTTATAATTTAACTATTTAGGCGACATTGAGATTTTGATTTTCCTTCATCATCATCATTTTCATCATTACAGTCCTTCACAAGTCCACTACTGAACATATGACTCACCTAAGGAATGCTACAAAGCATTGTCCCGAGCCACCTGCATCCACCGACTTAGGCAATGGCGTGAATATAGCTCGAAGAACCGACAACCGATGGGGAAGAAAGGTTCTCGAGTGGCAGCCTCGTACCGGCAGGCGTAGTGTAGGACGGCCCCCCACTAGATGGAGTGACAACCTGGTATACATGCAGGAAGTCGATGGATACGGGTGATTTTCCTTAGTCCACTTAAGCTGACTTCAAGGGACTGTAAAGATAAAATAATTTCACATTCTACATTTTTTTTTATTGAATTAGGGTGACATACGAACACAGTCCACCTGATGGTAAGTGGATGCCGCGGCCCATAGGCATCTATATTTATCCTCGATTAAGTATCAAAATTGAGATTCGTTGTCACCCCTGAGGACTAAGATGGAATGCCTCGTTTCCAGTAAAATGGGTCTCCAGTAAACCGTAGACCCGTTCTCTACACTCACCAAACGAAACGCAGCAGCATTAAGTTGCTTTTTACGCTGGTATTCTGTGAGGACGTGGTCCTATCTCCGTCGAGCCAACCCATTCGTCCTACAGCCATAATATAGCTGCAGCCTGTCCCTACCACGTAAAAGTAACACCACGTTCCCGTACAAAAAGTAAGTTTATATACAGGGTCGGAGCAAGATCTAAATTTTGTGTGGGCAAGATGAATTTCGCTACCCCTGGTGAAGAATAAATATTTTAAAAAATTGTATTTGGATTTCCATTACAACTCAACACTAGTCCACTGGTGAATATAGGCCTCCCTCGACGACTGTCACAGTCTTGAACCATCTAAATACATCAACATCCTGCACGTTTTACCTAGTCGTTCGGCCTCCATTTAGTAGGGGGTCACCTCGCTCCGCTTACTGAAGGCTGTCACTCGGAAACATTTCTTCTCTGTGGGTTGTCGGTTCTTGAAGCTATGGCCTGCCCATTGCGCTTTTTTTTGTGATACATTAGAAGATGTAACACTGGATCTGCTGCGGATATTTTCGACACGGAGTCTGTTACGCAAAGTAGCTCCGAGAACAGCCCTCTCCATACCTTTACAGCAGAACGACTTTAAACACTTTTCAATGCGTCCAAAAGTAAAAGACCATGTCTCGGTTTTCGAGATTTTGAGGCTTTTTGGACTTCCCACTTAAGTTCGAGTCATCGGTTGACCACTTCGTCAAAGTTTCCCTCGTGAACAAGCATTTTATAGTAGACACCGAAAACACTCTGTTCGATATAAATTGTTTAGGTACATGATAGCGCTAATATTAAATTTGTTAAAAATTTTAGAAAAGACAAAGAAAATAACTTAGTCTTTCTTGAAAAACAAAATATTTTGTTCCGCTTTTACTCCTGTTCCACGCTTGTGCCGTAGTGCCAAATGGAAAGATAAAATTGAATAGCTACTAATGGACACTAAATACCGACTACAAAAGCTCTGTTGCAATTCGAACCTCACCAGGTACTCTTAACGTTTATAAGATACTGTAGAGTCATTCTAATCTAATTCAGATTGATGTTCGAGACTTCATAAGGATTCCAACTAATGGACCGCGCTCACTCTGAATAAGCGTAGTTGTTTAATTCTAATAAATTTTGTCCGTCAAAGCATCCACATGCTATTCTGCTTCGCCAACCATACGATCCTATTAGATAGCAATAGAAACAACTTAGAATGTAATTACTTATTGGACAGAACAAGTGGTCACACTTCAACGTTACTCGTAGTAATCTAATTAATTAAGTAACCGTTGATGTGAAATTCAGCGCTAGATAGTAGACACTTCATTTCCAGCTAATGTTTCTATGCCAAATTTTGAAAAATTTTCACCTGATGGTAAGTGACTACATGAGGAATTGCAGGTGCGTTGCCGGCCTTTTAGAAGGTCCCTTAGTCATATTCGTCCGGAAAAACCAATTAACAAAGTAAACAATTTCACAAAGAGGTTGTGCGAGGAAGAAACCTCCTAGTAAAACGCACAGTGGTGGACCGCCAAGCATTCAGATGGTGTGGATGGTAACGTGAGTTTTGTCGCGATGTGTGTTGGTGAAATTTGGCGGCTGGGATTAATCCAAACAATTCCTCAGAGCACTTCCCGTGGCAGATACGATAGAAAATGCAAAGGGGTGCAACATACCTTCGTAGCGCCAGTGAATCTAGCCGACCTGAAAGAACTCGGTCGTCGACGATTCGTGCCACTCTGCGCTGTATGCGGTCAAGTGGAGGGAGCTGGCACTGGGGTGCTCCGGCCCAGAGATGAGAACAGTAATCCAAGTGGCATGCCGACATGAAATACCGTCTCGCTCTGTTGAGCATTACAACGCCAAGCATTTTAGAGGCCAATTTAGCATTCCCTTCCAAGTTACCACGAAACTGCACATCATTCGATATGTCGACGCCGAGGATTCCGATGCTAGCTGAGGCAGCAAAGGAAGTGGCCAGAAATTGAAGAGATACGATAAAGGGGTTCATTTTAGCGGTAAACGCGCAAACTTAACGGGCAACTTCTGAGGGTTAAACTGGACTAGATTTAGTTGTCCCCAATCCGAGACTTTGTTTAACAATGACTCAACTTCAGACACAACTTAGATCCGGTACTCGATGACGTGATCCCGAGAAATACTGGCACGGCCGATGTAAAAAGCGTCGCCTGTGCTATTGTCCGCATAGCAATTACTGCTACTACTGATTTGCAACATGTCATTGATACAACATATCATTGGAACAGCGTAGGCGACAACACACAGCCTTGTGGAACACCAACATTGATAAACTTGTAATCAGAGCATCAGCAAGGAAACTGGTGATCCAATCGCACAATTTCTCGGGAAGCCCATAGGAAGGAAGCTTCGAAAGAAGCACTTTGTGCCAAACCGGATCGAAGGCCTTCGCAACGTCCAATCTAACGGCCAATGCCTCCCCCTTAGACTGTACTGCCTCCGCCCATCTGTGAGTCAGGTAGACCAGAAGATGACCAGCTGATCAACCCCGACGAAGACCATATTGGCGGTCACTGGTGAGCTTAAGGTATCTCATGCGCTGGTAGTTCATAATAGATACCATTATTTTGGAGAATAAGGAGGTGGTGGCGATGGGCCTGTAGTTGGACGAGTCTGAGCGGTCGCCTTTTTTAGGGATCGAGTGGACCAACGCTGTCTTCTATGAATTCGGGACTACGCCTTGAGAGTAGGAAAAGACGCGTTAAAACCTCCCTCATTTAAAGTCGAGTCGGACGCAAAGAACCTAACAGATCTTTTCCAGAGTCGCCCTCCCTGTGCAGAGATGGGAGAGATGTCTGACAGAAGTTTCTTGGACAGCCTTGGCGAGAAACCACAATGCACTGAAGGAAGGCGAACTAGTTTCTCGCCAATTCTGCCGATGTGCTCTGACCTTGCCTTGGTAATGAATCTTTTAATGGACCTGAGGTGGAATTATACTTCTTTTTAAGGGCGCTGGTGTTTACATTCCGGGTCGTCGAAGCGTCAGCCCAGGCCCGGTAGCACTCCTGCTTATAGCGTGATGCTATTTTACAGGAGCGACCAAACCATGGCTGGGATATGTCACCGATGGGCACCACAGAAAATGGAATAAGTTTTTCCATACCCCGTAGTACCACATCAGCGACAGAATCAGCAACAACGTTGGTATGGTGAGTGGCGCCACACTCCGGTCTAGACAATGGTCTGAGAATCCAAGAGGGGCGTCGACGGAGACCTGATACCCATCCGGATGAGAGGCCAACAGAAGGTCCAACAGAGTAGGTGCATGATCCTCCACATCTGGAATCCGCGTAGGTAAGGTAACCAGTTGTGTCAGACGATATGCCAAGGCAAAGTCATACACAGATCTCCCCATATGATCGGTTAAATGTGAACCGATCCATTCGGTGTGGTGGGCGTTAAAATCGCCAAGGATTGCGATCTCTGCGGATGGGATTTGCTATAGCAAGGAATTTGTAGTCATTTGGGCAAGGTCAATGAGTCTGTCGGTGTTCGCATTACCGCTACGCGACCTATAGAGGCACCAGTAGTACAGTAGAGTATTTAATAATTGTGTAATTTCTATCTAACCTGATTGATATTATCGTATTAGTAGTACTGTATTCGTTATTTCTGTTATTTTGTTATTGTATTTAGTAATTATTCGTTATTTCTGTTATTTTGTTATTGTATTGTATTTAGTATGCCGTCACATAAGCTACTAATTCGTTGCTTGCGGACTGAGCTGCGCTGGGCTACCAGCGCACACGCGTTGATAGGCCGACCGGACAGGGTCTATAATCTGAGGAAGAGGCTCGAGCAGGTCGATGCTCGAAGGGCTGCCGTGGAGGAGGCTTACTCTGAGCTCGAGGACTCGGAGGTGGAAAAGGGAGTCCTGGACTCCTGCCGCGCGGACTACGAGCAGTTCCTCGCGCTAACGGACGACCTGATCGAGGCGGGGGCCAAGGACGCGGAGAGGGAGCGCGAAGCTCGGCTGAGTAGCCTTCTCGAGTCCCCGCGGAAGCCGCCTACTCAGCCAGAGCTGCTAGGACGACTCCCCACGCTGGACCTGCCAAGGTTCTCCGGGGTCCTCTCGGAGTGGCTGACCTTCGTCGGCATGTTTGACAGCCTGGTGGACGCCCGGAGGGACTTGACCCCCTGCAAAAAAATGGGGTACCTCCTGGCATCACTGGAGGGGGAGGCCCTGGGCGTCGTCGGCCAACTTAAGTTGTCAGACGACGCCTATCAAAACGCCAGGGACCTC